ATTCCCTTCTGGAGTTCCAGCTCTTAATACAGAACTGGAACTTGTTCTGGAAGCCTGGGGAAGGGATAGGAAAGTAAACCCTCCAAAGCCCTCTGCAGGGGCTTCAGGCCCAAACCCTTCCAGAATGTCTTGAGAAACTAAGGGTGCAGGTATTGATTTCTCTTGAAAAATACAGTAGAGCTTTTGGCACCAAAATTCCACTTCCACAATTTTGTTTGATACTATCAATTATGAATTGATGGATATAAATCAAAACTTTATATATATTAATATATCACCACACGAAGCAAACAATCAGCACCCTTGCAGACTACTCATATGGATCCGTGTCTGTTTATATTTTTTTGTAATAGTCCTCAAGAGTTGTATCTCAATCTAAGCAACAATCTCTTCTTAGAGTATTTTGGATCAAACAGCAACTTTTTAAGAGGTGGCTTTGAAATCGTTCCACAGAAGGAACTGCAGAATTTGGTAAAAGCCATCTTTATCAATTGAAGATCAGTAACCATAGACAAATTCCCTTAAAAAAAATAGGGTGGCTCCTACTCTGAGCTATAGTCCAGACCCTGTGCTCCATGCAGATGTCTCTGAAGCACACAAGTCCCTGTTTTGGGAACTACTGTTAATTCCTACTCCTAAGATAACTTACCTAAAGTTATTATAGCAAAACATATTTGACTCTCCCAGCATCTGTGTAAATCCTTTAAGAAATCTGCACTCAGATTTGCGCTAATTAGAAGCTTTCATTCATGTGGCATTTGAGTTCCTTGTTCATAAGGAAAGGACATGTAAAAGTCAATCTCTGGTGATTTCGTAGGCATAGCCTGTAGTTTTTTGGGTCAGAATTTGGGAGCAGCTTCCTGTTCCCTTCTGGGCTGTTTTCAGACTCTTTTTAATTCTCAAATGGTCTCCTGTGAAAGTCGGGACAGCAAGGTTTTCAAGTGGAGCCCTGGCTCTTCTTTAATTGAAAACAGCCACATTACATTTTAATCAAATACGATCAAAATTATTTTCCTTATTTTAAAATGTTTTTTTTGTTGTTGTTTTTACTGTTGGAACAAAGGTGTGAACTATCAAAAAAAACCTAACAGGAATATTTTATAATGATAATCTTGACAAATACTTTGAAATACTTTCCTTTGCATAATTCATCAAATTGTAAGTTGTGAAATTCCAATTTCTGAAAACCATCAGAAGTTTTTGAGCTGAAAAGAAACTCCATAACAATTGTTCATGATAAATCAAACTAAGGGTTCCTTTCCTGTATCTCAATATTGATTATATTTCATTTGTGAATTCCAATTATTTTTTTAGCAAATTATTGTTTTCCCTTTAAAATCCAATATTAGATTTCATATGCAGCAAAATTTAAAATGTTAATCATGCAAAACTATATTTCAAACTTTTTATAAGACTGATGAATTCAAATATATCTCACTTTGTCCATTTTGATCACAGTTCTTAAAGTAATACTTAACACTCTTCTAATAAACATACTACACTGTTTATAAGAAATATTAAATATCATTACAGCCCTTACTGTAGACAATATAGCATAAAATACTTTTGGGGAGAGATTATATCTTTTCTTTTTTGTGATGAATGCAAAATGAATAAGAAATTCCTGAACCTGAAACAGAAAATGTAACGTATATAACTCCATTAACATTCTGTACACAGGCTAAATTTTATATATTTCCATAGGAAATAATAAAAGAAAGCATTATTATTTTACTGAAGATGGACCTCCCAAATATCTTCTTTTTTGTAATGAGGCTGCAAGAGATCGCATTCTTTTACTAACTCTCTAGGTATATATAATTTTAACATGTAATAGATCACTGTGGCTTGTGAGAATTTATTTGTCATGGTAATAACTTTTGAATGGCTTTTTGTTGACTCCTGCCAGGCGTAAAATATTTCAGTTTTTGCCATTTTAGAGATATCAGTTTTTTCTTAAAATTCCTCCTCCATTATGACTGATGCAGGAACATAGAGGCACAATGAAAATAATTTTGAAAACTATTGTATAGGATCCGAGTGAAATATACTCCTGTGCGGGTTCATGAACCTTTTTGTTCCTAAAATTCTTTTTAAATTATTTTAAAGACAAGTGACCTTTCTAAACATATAAAAAGTAGGTCAGCAACTGGGTGCAAGAGATGTTCAGAAATGAGATAAGAGAAGCAAGGGACACCTACAATCTGCTTCTTGAATTTGGACTAATTCAAGATGCTCAAGTTCAATCTGGACTAGTTCAAGTGCTCAGAAAAACAACAGAATATTCATCTGAAATGTATTCATTCATATCTTTACATCTTCAAATAGTAACCACTTTAATCTCCACAGAAAATAGGTTCAAGTCATTAATCAGAATGACCAACTGAGCCTCTGGATAACATAGAGTTCCCGATTTAGCTTTGTTTCACCTTGTACAAGGGACCATGCAAATCATAAAATGTCAATGGGCACCACTCAACACCCAGAAGGTCCCCAAACTTCCAGAGAAAGTTTTTGGGATTCATGAGAAATGGCAGAGGGGAGGGGAAACACTTCTGTTGGAGAACAAAATATAACCCAAAATTTCTGGCAAGCAACTGTGTAAAGAACTATTTGCTCTGGCACTTCCTGCCATGAAATTCTTCTCTGATATTAATACTAGCTGTGTAGTTTATAATCTTTGGCTTGTATTTGTTTTAGACAAATTTGTTACTTAAATCTTTATTGCTTCTGCATAAGACTGCAAGAAGCAACAGTCTAGCTTCAGGGAACCTGTTTTGGACACAGAATGTACAAGCTAAACTGCTTTCTGAAGGAAATGTTAAAGCAAAATCACTTTAATTTTTATCATGTACTAGACTGCATAGGATGGTTGCCCGCCATTCCCATTTTGTACCAAAAGAGAATAACATACCTTTTAGTTTTTCAACTCCATTTTAGAAACTAATTAACTAACTCTCTTTATTCTTGAATGTGCTGAATAAAATATGTAAAACCAAAGATTGCAAATGGTTTGTTTTGAGAGGCAACCTGAGGCAGTAACCTATGGCGCTGAAGATATTTTTAACTGCAACTCCCAGCAACCCCTTCCCTTTGCTGTGATGTAGTTCAGCAAAATCTGCAGGGTCACAGGATCCTTTCCCCATAATCATCAGAAAAGGTATGGTTTTTAATCTATCCTCTTTGTAATTTTACAGCCAGATGTGCAAATATCTAAGGATGTAGAAAAATGTGAGGTAGTCACCGATTTTATTTAAAAAAAAAACTAACCCAACTAACTAAAATAGTTGAGGGGGAAAAGATTGATAAAATTAAATATTATAAATCCAGATCATATATTCAGAGCTATATAATCAAGAAATGTTTAAACACCTTAATATTTCTAACCTAGTAATTCAGTCTTCGTTTGCTAATATGATCAAGGGAGTAACTAAAACCTGAAATTATTCTTCAGGCAAATAATCAGCCCGTGTATAATCTAAGGCTCTTGGTTCGATTCAGCTTCATTTGGAAAGAGTGTTCTTCTATTTAGTAAAAAATCATTATTTATGACTATGCTCTCTCTCTCTCTCTCTCTCTCTCTCTCTCTCTCTCT